GGGGCTGGGTTGTGTGGGGCGAGCTCTTATTGATGACGTTATGGTGATATGATTTCTTATGTGGGGCTAATGGAAGCGGGCTCGGGTCCTGTGTCCGGCCTTCACCGGCTTACACACACACAAGCACAAAGAGAAAAGGAGAGGGGGATACAGGATGTCATCGGCACACAGGAGAAAATGTGTTGCCCACAGTAATAAGTTTGTTAGTTAATAGCAATCTACCTGAATTGTGTGGGGCATAAAAATATCTTCCATATGAAAATTTAGTGTCAAAAATATCCATGAACCAAATTGTAATTATTATTATTACATTTTAATCATGTTCAATAATTGCTGAGATATTTCGGTAAAATTAGGGGAAAGCACCCGAGCTTTATGCCAGGTCCATTATCAACAATATTTTTATAGATGACGCTAAATACGATATCACTAGGAGTAGCAGCTCAGACGTTGTAATAAACAGCTGATTAGGAGATATCGGCCTGTCCCGATGGGGGACGGGGCTGCGAGTGTTCGCCGGAGCAGGGTTGCGTGTGTGTGTGCACGCGCGCGCGTCTTGTGTGTGTATGTGCGTGCGTGTGTGTGTGTGTGTGTGTGTCCGTGTGATTGGAGGGCTCGCCACTGCCATGCTCCGGGAGCGCCAGAGAGTTAGTTGCCTTGAGTTTCCCCGGGCCAGCTCCTCGGCAGACCCTCAGCCCTCTCCAGCCAAGCAGTGTGCTTCTCCAGCAAGCGCCAGCAGCGCCAGCAGCGCCAGCACAGACGAGTGGGGTGCGGGGAGGGGTGTTGGGGGGATTATGATGGGGCGTATATGATTAGTAGCAAGTCAAAATATACACACACAGTAAGGGAGAGAGCGATCACTACAAGAAATGGGCTGCTTGCTGCCTCGTGCAAAGACGAAGACTGGAAAATGACTTTGTTATTGAGAATGAGGAGATCCGTGTGTGTGTGTGTGTGTGTGTGTGTGTGTGTGTGTGTGTGTTTTGGGATGGGGTAAACTAGAAGAAGAAGAAGAAGAAGAAGAAGAAGAAGAAGAAGAAGAAGAAGAAGAAGAAGAAGAAGCACTGTGCAGGCGCTATTGAAAGTGTGCAATTCCGTTTCGTGTTCAGGCGTCGACCATCAACACGCGCCAACCGCGCTCGCCACTAGCAAGAGGGAGAGCGAGAGAGGGGGGGGGAGAGAGAGAGAGAGAGAGAGAGAGAGAGAGAGAGAGAGAGAGAGAGGGGGGGGGGGGGGAGAGCACGTAGAGAGGAACGCGAAGGTTACGCCTCACTCGCTATTCATGTATTGACGAGAAATAGGATAGCTCCTCTCTCTCCCTCTCTCCTACTCGTCGCCCCCTCTCCCCAGCCTTTCTGTGGGATTGGCGCGAGCGAGCCGTGCGCGGCCGTGAGCCCACCTGAAAAGACGCCAGCGTGATCCTCGACCGCGCGCCGCGCGCCCCTCTGCTCATTGACTGGAGTGAGCTGAATGTGTCGGATCAGCAGCCCGTCGCAATTCGGAGCGAGAGAAAGACAGAGAAAGGGAAAAGGTGTGGAGGGGGGGGGGGGCAGGAGGGCATTCGCATGCACCCTCGGCAAGTCCGCCTGTCGTACTGCTGTCGGTCATTAAGGGATCGACGTTCTCTGGAAAATACAGCGCGAAAATATCGGTCTTAAATAGAAGAGGAGGTCGGAGTTCCGGCCGCTCGCCTTTACTCCCTATAATAACCCGGGTCTCACGAGTCAGGCCGGCATGAAACTCCTCCGTCAAGATCCGTGGTGGAGCGGGGGCGGCCAGGCGTCCAGCCGCAGACATTCTCTGCTGTTTTGAAGCTGGATCGTTTTTGTGATACGGAGGAGATAAAAGTTACGCCCCTCCGCGGGGACGCGGGCGCAATGAGAACGAAAGCCACACATCAAGACTCTATCCGATTTCTTACCCGACTCCCCC